GTGAAACGGAACATTGTGCTCTTCTAAAACTAAACTAGTGATTATACATGATTTGCTAGTCTATCAGCTTTTCACTTGAGTATCTAATCTGTGTGATTGAGGAGACAAATTATATTCACACCCCTGAGCTGAAATAATTAGCTGCTATTTTGTAGAGTTCACCATTACCACAAAAGATTCTTTATCAGGTTAAAGTTTACAAGCAAACTGGTTTGCACTTCTACATCCTCCTTCACGATAAAGCTTAAAATACTGCATTTGAGATTTTTCCGGTGGAAGTTATTTTGTAGAAATTCTGCATTTTATACCCTGAAATATGGTAGAGCAGTCAGTTGTCCACACAAATGTATTTGTCTGAGGTTTGAGCTAGAACAATTGTGAAATACGAGATTAATGTGTTGTATTTATTAACTGTTAACACTGCTGTTGACCCTATGCTAACAACACTCATGTCATCATAGTTTTGTGCGCCCCCTCCCTCCCCCCAATAAGGATCCTGGATAGGCCTTTCCTATATTAGAATGTTTCGACTGGTGGGACTGTTGAAAATTGTAGTTTAATGTAGCTCAGAGAGTTACAGGCATTTTTACCATACTGTAGTCAAATATTATATGCACATAAATATTTGACTGACATTGAGTCAAAAACTAAAGGCAGGCATCCTGAGGGGGAGCGGGTGTTCAAGGCGGGGGGAGTCCTGCATTTTTTTTCTTTTCTGAAACACCCTTCCCCCACCTCCTTGTTCAAAATCTTTCTATTCATAGCCCTGAAAACTGTGGTAGAACCTTGCTTAGCAACCCTGTTTATAGTTAGCTGTCCCTTGGGGTGGGCAAACTTTGTGTCCTGAGGGCCACATCTGGATATGGAAATTGTATGGCAGGCCATGAATGCTCAAGAAATTGGGGGTTGGGGTCGGGGCGGGGGGTTGAGGGCTTCGGTTGGGGCTGCGGGCTCTGGGGTGGGGCTGGGTATGAGGGTTTGGGGGTGCAGGAGGGTGCTCTGGGCTGGGATTGAGGGGTTTGGAGGGTGGGAGGGGGATCGGGGTGCAGGCACCCAGCAGCGCTTACCTCAAGCAGCTCCTGGAAGCAGCGGCATGTCCCCCCTCTGCCTCCTACGTGGAGGCACGGCCAGGTGGCTCTCCATGCTGCCCCATCTGCAGGCGCCTCCCCCGCAGCTCCCATTGGCCTCAGTTCCCAGCCAATGGGAGCTGTGGCGACAGCACTTGGGGCAGAGGCAGCATGCAGAGCCCCCTGGCTGCCCCTACGTGTAGGAGCCAGAGAGAGGACATGCCACTGCTTCCGGGAGCTACACGGAGCCACAGCATGCGCAGAGCAGGGCAAGTCCCGGACCCTGCTACCCAGCAGGAGCTTGAGGGCCAGATTAAAGTATATTAAGGGCCGGATGCGGCCCCCAGGCCGTAGTTTGCCCACCCCTGCCGTAGCGTGATTTCATTCCTTCTGGTGTGATTGTCTCTCACTGTGCCTGGTCACATGCCACGTGAGGCACATATGCTAAGAAGACTGCCTAAAATCCAAATTCAATTTCAATAACTTCTTGGCCGGACAGGCTTTGCCAGTGTTTCCAACAGATACACAATGTTTCTTATTCCTGAGATTTATGGGCTTTCTAATTAGGAGGAGCTATATTTGTTTCAGGTTGGGATACCAGGATGGATAAATGGAAAGATGCTAGTTTCTCTAGAGGGTTGAAGGTGACGTTACGTTAGATGTCTCTCCCAACATCTCCAGAATTAAACCAGTCTGCCTGAAATTTCATGTATATGATCTTAGCTCAACATACAGTTTTTTTTCCTGCCATGTCTAAAGCAAATCTTATATAGAGTTTTGGGGAATTATGAGTGTTCAAAGATAAGGTAATCTCACTTTTTCAGCATTATCCTAAAGTGTGTTTTGGTTTCTCATAACTCCAAACTAACTTGGTATATAGAGACTCCCAACTTGTTTTTAATCTTTTGCTTTTCGTGAGGACTTGTGATCATGTTTAGTTTGTGAGGATGATTGTGGGTGGAATTTAGTTCTTTAAAAGTTTCCATGGATGTTGAGCTTCTGTGTTGTGTATGCACATAAAGTATTTATGTCTGAGTCTAAAGACTGCTGCCAAACAAATCTACTAACTCCATTTGGTTTACTATTCTCATAGTGGAGGAAGTGGAGAGCTATGTAGAAGGAAAGAATGGGCCCAATGTGAAGACTGGGAAATAAGATGTTCAAGTATTTTTTAAAAAATTAAAGTTGGATTTTCCATTTAATCCATGAACAGAAACCCTTAAGAGGATGTTGAACATTGTATTCTAGCCTGAAAGTTCAGTAACTTGAGACAAGATTTTGTTTCAGCCCCATATTTTTTGTTTTTGTTTTTGTCCTTTTGATTTTAGTACTACAAAACAAGGAACAACGTTTAGTAATCAGCTTCACCAAATCTTTTTGATACAGAAGTTTTCATGGTTTTGTTTTGTTTTTATGTAGCTTTAGACACCAGTGGTAGAGGATGTTGAAGTATCAACTTCTAGAACATCAGAAGTGGCAGCATAATCATCAGCAATGATCACTATGAAATCACTATTTGTTAAGCGATCCTTGTTTGTGACGGGGAACAAATGAAACTTGAGGTGTAAATAATTTCATTACCTGACTATTCCAAATGAGGGAAGAAAATAAATTAAAATCGAAGTCCAGGAATATGTAACTTAAGTCCAGGAAATGTATTTAGATTTTTTTCCTTAGCCCTGGAGTGCTACACTACAGTGTATTCATAAAATACCCAAGGTCAGAAATAAGAGTTTTAGTCTCAGACTAGCATGTTTGTTTTTTGGCAAAGGGGACTGCTTTCTTGCTGTTTCTAGCATGCTGTCAACCAAGCCAGTCTTTGGATGTAGTGCTGACTTTGGAACTAGAAGAAATTGCTTTATCAGATGCTGTCTGAACAGTGAGGTAAGACACAATTTAAAATGAGTCGGAAGTGAGGAATCCAAAGTGGGACTAACTGGGTCATGTTAACTGTTTTCTTAAAGCAAAGGTTCAATAACAGTGCATTGTTTCTTCCACGATTATGAAAAGGAAATTGAGATCTGCATATTGTTTCTTCTGCATGATGCCGGTAGCAATGTATTACTGTCGTTGGGATGAAATGTTAAATTACTGAAGAAATACATGATTTAGTACTATATAAACTAATTTTGGTTCCATTTGCATTTTATTCACTTTTGTAATCTAATTGGAAAGTTAAACTCAGTAGTTATAATACAGACCTTGCTTTGAAAGTTTTTAAAGAAAGATAGTAATCTTTATTTCTGCATATGAGCTGGTATAACTTTCTGAAAAACCTGATGTTCACGTTTTAATATTTTGAATGCAAAATGTTGCTAATTGTAAAGGGCTTGACAGTCTGCTCGTTAGAGGTGTTCTGGAAAGGAAACTTCTGGATAGTTGAATTCCATGAAAAATGTACAACCATTTAAAGCCTAATATGGCTTCCTAGATGAAGTGAGATCATATATCATTGACTGTTAATTTCACTTATAACACTTTATGAAATAAACAGGGCTGCTTTAAAATCATAGAAACATTCCACTACAAGGCTATTCCTGTTCTTTCTTGTCCTGGAAACACATCCTTTAAATGTGTAACAGGCAGGTGCCATGTCACCTTTCATTCACAAGGTTTATAGGATCATTGGAAAAAATCTCACTCCTCAAATTAGGTATATGAACACTGTATGTGTGCTTATTAAGTCAGAGTCTCATGTGTGGTCTAATCCTCGTTTAAATTAAGAAAGGAGGGGGGGGAGAGAGAGAGAGATTAAACTAAAAAATAGATGACTATCAGGTGCCAGTCCGAAGATCTATGGATGATCGGGTTTGACAAACATATTTGCCATGCTTAAATTGTCATTAATATAGTGCCTCACTTATCTTATAATATAGTACTTCTGAAAGAGGTACTTGTGTAGATGAAGGTAAAGGGGAAATATTGCGGTCCTAGATTGCTATGGGCACTGTCTAAACATGGAAGTTTTTCAGTATCACTTAGTTTAACGCTTTCTCTCTCTCTCTCTCCTATTATAACTGCCTTTTTCAGTTTAGCTTGTTTCTCTGTCTCTTGGGAAGTGGGGTTAAGCTAACCTGAAAAAAGTCTTTTTATACTCTGCCAGAATAAGAGTCTCCATGTAGAAAGATTATACTGGTATAACTGGTAAAACTTTCCAGCAAAGACAAGGCCATACAGAGGCCTCTTCCATGTCTGTCAGTGAGACACTCCACTTTTTCAGGAATTTCTGCAAATTTTTCTGTGACAGTGAGTTTTTTTCATTAAGATGGGGCCTGGGTGTTTCTTAAATCACTAACAAGATGTATCTGAGGTTTAAGGGGTTTTCCCTTTTTTTTTTTTAATTTTATTTTTTTTAAATAATTGTACTACAATGAAGGGGTAAAGTTCAACAGTTTTTGTAGTAGTGCTTATGATGATAATGCTATTTAAATCTTGTTAACTTTAGAAACACCGAGAACAGTAGCTTTTTGGTTCTGTTCCTTAGATTAATGGATGGTGGGCTTTGTTTTTTTTCAATAGATGACTACTTAGGTTTCTATTTAATATAAATCCAGGACTGAGACCTTGTTTTTCTTTGGAATATTCCTGATTCAGCAATTGGGAGGATTCACAATCATTCAGGGTTTGTCAGTTTTGCAAAATGAAGTAACTCCGACATATCTTTGCCTACATTTAAGGGTCAATACAAATGCATCTACCCTGACTGCTGACCGTCTGTTTCTCGATCAGAGGTATTTCCAAGTATAGACAAGGCCTCACTCTCTCTGCATTGGTATGTAAATAAATACCACACAATTAATAATCGTTTTCTGTAAGGTCCAGAACTTACTATGAAATTTAATAGATGTTGCAGACTGTGTCAAGCCCTTAGTTTTAACTTTCTAATTTTGCATATACAGTATAATTATTTTATGATTTTGTTGCATTCACTAGGTTTGCTGGGATGGGTAATCTTCTTAAGGTCCTTACCAGGGAAATTGAAAACTATCCACATTTTTTCCTGGATTTTGAAAGTAAGTTCAAAAAATTACAAGACAATGAGAGAATCTTTTCCATGACTTAAAAGCTCGTTGAAAGAACTTTTTAATGATCAAATACAGTGGCAAGTTTCCAGCAGAATCAGAATATCCAAATCCATATCTCCAAGATCATTCATTTACTCAGGATGCCTGTCCTCTTTCTTTTCTGTTTTTCAATAACCAAATATGAAAGCTTTTTAAACGTACTCATTTGCACAGAACTTGATCAGGAGGCACATTTTTTCCTTGACTTTGAAAGTGAGCAAAACTTCTTGCCTGGCTTGCCGCCTTTATTCCTAATAATTTTTTCCTACTACTGTATGAATTTATGCATCATACAATATTTAAAAGGAGATTTGTAAACAAATTGATATATGCTTCTGTTTAATATTGAATTCCGATAAATACTTGTAAAACATTTTACTGTAAAATTGCTAAAATCTTGTTGGGCAAAGAGGATAAATGTAAGAGTAAAGTCTCGTCTTGACTTGGTTTCAATACACGTAGTATCTATCCTGAAAGTAGACACACAAATAGTGATGTTTTTGATGAAAAGCCTTGATTGCCTTAAACTTTTTTTTAAGAATCATGTTTATAAAAAAAAAAAACCCACAATATTTTATTTTGTCACTTCATCATATAAAAGGTTTTTGTTTTTTTTAAATAAGTACCAAATATATCAATAACTACAACATAAATTGTTCAGATGGCACTTTTCTTTGCATTGTTCAATACTGAATAAACTGGGCTATTTTTATAACGTCTAAAAATGAAAATGTGGACTATATATGCTTTATTGCATCTTTGTCACATGTTTGTCAGCTTACAAAATTTAATGTTTTGCATGCTAATTTTCTAACCACATCTGCACCTTGATGCAAGATAATTCATTTTTTACTGGTTAGTTCTGCATGTATTCTAGACGTTCTCTTGAAAACTGGCCATCACATTTTTAAACATAGATTGAATCTCAATTCTGCTACTTAAATGAAATGCCTTTTTAAATTATACCAATGCATGTTGGCATGGCTTTTTTTCTTAGAGTATTTAAATACCTTTATTAAACAATGGTTCTGGCAGAAATAATTAATTAAAGACTTCTGTCAAATTCTTTTGGAAGAATGACCAGGACAATTTCAGTCTGAGTCCAAATTTGTACTTGTCTTAAAATACTCTACTTGAAGAATTTGATACCCACCTGTTTTCTAAAGTCATTTTTTTTAAAAGATTGGATCCACTTTTAAAAAAAAAATCTAGTCATTATTTTTAATTCTTAACAGAAAAACAATGGCGTTATTTACACACTCAGGTCAGCATGATCTTAAATCAATGCCTGTTCAAGAAACCACTAGAACATGCTTTCCTGAATTGAGGCTACAGCTTGGAAATAGCGTTATGTGGATATATAACAATTTCCCCTCCCAGATCTTAATTTGCTACGTCATGAAGAATCATGCTGATACTACTTGTAGAGTTTAATCTATTAGTTCCAATAAATAGTACAAGTAAAAATTTGAGTTTGTAAGCCTTACATCCTTCTCTCTCTTGTCCAAATAACATGAATGTGTTTTATTGTAAAACTGGGGTGTCAAACCTTTGTCCCAAACATTGTAATCTGGTCTATCAAACTTTAGAGTATTCTAATTGAGCTCTACACCTGCCTCTATACTTTTACAAAGACCTCTTGCTGCCTTGGGGATGCACTGTTTAATCAGTACCATCATGTCATGGATTGAAAAAAAGGTACTTCTGTCAGAACTGCAGACTTGGCAGGAGACTGTAGGAGGCCTTGAAGGAAGAAATATCTATTTTTAAAATCTTAGCACTAGAACTGGATTTTCCTGAAGTATGTTGCCAACAAGAAATGGGGTGGGGTAATGCAGAGAACACCCACTCCCCAAAGACAGTGACAAGTAATTATTATAGGTACATGCATACACTTGTCTGGCACTCCCAACTATGGAGGAGCAAAAGTGCCTACAAATTTAAATTAGTTGACACTGCTGAATGAAAGGTTAAAAATGCTGTGGTTTTGTTATTACTTTTAAAAGTACTACATGATTGAATTGAGCCAGGTCTAAAACGTATAAAATTAAATACACCAGACGTTTCCCTTAGCTGCATGCTTGAATGTACTTTACATTTACCCCATTACAGCATGAAAAAGAGGCTCTTAAACTAATGTGCATGCATAAGAATGTACTTGGATTCTTGCTGGACTTGTTTTCTAACTTCTTGTATACTTAAGGTTTCTAGTTTTAGGTTTAAGTCAATTAAAATGCCACTAAAGCTGACACTTCAGAAGGCTTTTCTAAAATACACACTAACCAATGCCCTTCCGCAACTTACTTTTTTTGCATTGTTGAATTTTCTTTGAGGGGGCTGGGCATACTGTACAGTTACTGGGAACTCCTCCACCATACTTCTGGACTTGGGAGTTGGCCAGTTTATTTTGATATACAGTGAAACAAGATACTGTCCTTAATGCGAACCTCCTCACTTTAGAGACCACCCTAAAGAATTTCCAAATGTATGCCCTGATCCTGCAAGCAACTTTGCTCATATTTAAGTCTGAGTAATCTAGTCAGTTCTATGGGACTACTCACATAGTGGTAAACACATGCATAAGTGGTGGAGGACTGGGGCTATATTGAGCACAGTTCTGTTTCATGTTCGTTAAAAGACCACCTCTGTTCTGCAACCAATTGTTGGTGGTCCCTTACATGATTAAAGCTGTCTTCACTGTATTTCAATAATAAGATAATTTTCACTCAAAAATTAATTTGCCTAAAAAGCAAACAATAGAAACAGGAAAAAATAGAACTATCACACACACACACACACACACACACACACACACACACACCTTTTATAGCTTCTGTGCCCCCATCACTCCTCATTATTTATATAGGGACAACTTTTCAATTGTATCTTTACATTTTATTAGGATATAATATATATATTATAGCTATTCTTCAATATATTTTTACATCTGAAAACAGTTGAGTTCAATCATCTTTCAGCTTCTTATGAAGTTGACACACTTATTTTAGGGCTGTCTCTCAGAATTCTTTCCACACTCGATTGTGTGACACACACACAGGCTTTGTGTCACAGACCTCCCTGTTTATCACAAGTGCACAATAGCCAAGCGATGTGTCCGAATGGTTTGGAGATAGGGGACGCACACAGTGTATGTGTATTCTTGGTTTTAGATTTATAGTTCTTAAAGTGAGATTATGTAGCAATTAAACAATAAAAACAATTTGCACCTCGAGTGCTGTCCTAAATATCTGGTATGTAACTTTAAAAGTGCTGAGACTTTAACGAATCTGACCATGTTCTACTGCTTTAGAGATTATGATGAGAACCAGTAGGGAAGGGCTAATAAACATTAGATTTTTGTTACTATGATGTTACTCTAAATGTGTCAACTGAAATCATAAACCAAACCAGCTCTGTATTCCTCAAGCTTAGGTAATCATCTAAGTCCAGAGAAGTCTAGTTAGTGTACTGTAATGACATGTCTGATTTACTGCACTCTTAGTCAATATTAGTTTTGTTTGGGACAACTGCCTTTGGTAAAGTTATTTTATTTTATGATTGTATTGTCCCCAGATTGGAATTTCTGGCATGACAGTGTTTTCCCTGACTCCAAGGCTTTGTATTATCTTGATAGTCTATGGTTTGGTGACCTTCAATAATTGATAATATTGGCAGATTCCTCAATGCATTTATCCCTTCCTGACATTATTTCTTACCTGGCTTGAGCTAGTTGCTCTTTGTCCACGTGCTCATCTTTCTAGGCACTGGAACATGTAGGTGAAGGCAGGGCCTGCCTCCTCAGAGAAGAAATAGACAGCTGAGTGTCACCAGCATCAGAGGTTCTGGTGTTCTTTCCTCTTCAATATCTGCATAACAGAGTTTGGAGAAATTAAGTGTATATTGAGCCTTGCAATACTTCCTATGCTAGTGCATTGGTGACCTGGAGTAAAGGCCAATCATGATCCCCTGGGCCCTGTTTGATAGGAATGAATGAAACCAGTAGCATGTTGTCCCATTTGCTTCTGCAAGATCTTGTATAAGTGTCATCAGCACAATGTGATAAGCAGTACCAAAGTCTTCAAAAAATTGAAGTACTATTACCATGTGACCTTTTTTCCCCCCAAACTTCTCAGTGGGTTTGGGTAAACAATGAGTACCAGCAGAACTATTTTGATGCCATATCTTGATATCTGACATCTGATTATGATGACTTCAGGGATTCTGGCAGAGAATAGATACTAATGGAGCTTGGGTGTTACCACTGTCTCAATTATCTTGCCAAGCAAAGGAGGCTGAGAGTAATGCAGACAAGGATACAAGAAATGTATGACAAATCAGGATACTTTCAAAGTGGTAAGATACATTCATGCTAAAAGCCAAATCCTACTCCATACATTCTATAATGGAGTGCAAATGGCAGTCTCTGATACATTTGGACCCTTGATATATTAATGCTCTCAAATATTATGGAGGAGTCCATCGTTCAGGTAGCATTGAGCTTTTCACTTAAAGCAGGACTAAATTTGCTGTGTTTCACATATTAATGATTGAATTCAGTCTCAAAATTTAACACTGTTGTTCAGGGGAGAAGTAAATTTTATGGAACATTTTCTGGATAAAATACTTGCCAATTTTTCTAGAGAATTTTTTTAAAATCAGCCATCTATGAAATTTTAGCCCTAAGTATGTCTGATATTTCTTGTTAACTATAGCTACACAATCACAATTAGTACAAACTGCAGAGTTCATAGAATAAAATATCAGGGTTGGAAGGGACCTCAGGAGGTCATCTTGTCCAACCCCCTGCTCAAAGCAGGACCAATCCCCAGACACATTTTTGCCCCAAATGGCCCCCTCAAGGATTGAGCTCACAACCCTAGGTTTAGCAGGCTAATACTCAAACCACTGAGCTATCCCACATACGTTCTACACCAGTGTCTTTTCTCAGG